ATATTAAGCGCCACTAAATCTGATTGTGTCACACTGGCTTGGGTTGGGATAAGGCAGAGAATCTTAGGTGTCCTGGAGTGCAGACCTCTAATCTCCAGTGCCGTCAAATTCTTTGTAGCAACGTTCATATAACTCATGTAACTGCTACCAGATTGCTATCATACAATAAACCAGTGCTGCTGTCTGTTTTGTTAAGATTCATTAGCACTTGGTCCTCTGTCATCATAACCCAAATAGACTTCTGGACCTGGCTGGGTAACGAGGAGTATATGAAAATTAACACCATGTCCAATCGGACCAGGAAACTACAATTGTGTCCTATGGCCAATTTTAATAAGACTTTTGTCTGTTTAGGAGGAGGTGGCAACGGAGTGGTATTTTTTTAAAAAATTCATTCAGAGAATATGGGGTTTGCTGACTGCCCCAGGATTTATTACCCGTCCCTGGTTGCCCTTGAGAAGGTGGTGATGAGCTGCTTTTTTGAAGTTCTGCAATCCACTGGGAGTAGGTAGACCCATAATGCTGTTAGTGAGACTGTAAGTTGATGGAAAACTCCAGAAACATTTCAATATCAACCTGTATGTGTCATTCCTATTATCTCTACATTAATATCCACTCCCAGGGCATTTTGTGACATCAAATCTAAACAAATGAAATTTCCTTTTGTGTTAACAATTTACTCTAGACTTGATCTTCATGCAGGCTCAGTTCCAAAAAGTGGCTGGTGTGAGAAACCAGCTCTGAAACCAGCCTGTTAACTGCCAAGTCTTGCAGACACTGCAACTGACAAGCTATATTTGCTGTAGTGAAACCATTTGAGAGTAGCCTTCCATTATTTTGTTTATGACCTATATTAAAACATATATTAATTATCCTCCCAAACAGAATTCACAAGGTGATGATATAGTCAAACTATCTTATCATTGTGCCCGGTTCCTCCAAACACATGGCAAAGCACTTAGTAGATCAGCAACGGTGTCAGTTTAAACTAGTTGAGATCAATTTCTGAAATGAACAGTCTGAGAAATAAATACAAGAGCCATTAATGTCAATTTGGCCAACTGTCCTTGTGCAGTACTTTCTTGTTATCATACTGAAACTACAGCGAGGCATAAAAGAAAATGAATTGTTCATTTTAACAGAAATTGAGCACTGTAAAAATACTAATAGAGTGCTTTGAATAAGCTGGTAAACACATAACATTTCAGCTTTTAATTTTTCACCTTTGCGAAGTGCTAATGGTTGATGAACACATAGCACTGACAAATTCACATCAATTTGCAAAGAAGTAATTATCTGCTGGCTTTAATTTTTATATATATTTGGGTCATTTAGATATCTAACAGACAGGGAATGGGCACAGTAACAGCTTGTACCCATGTATCATCTTCAAGTTACTAAATGACTTAACAAAAATGGAAAAAAAAAAGTTGGAGACTGAGAAATAGAGATAAAAAGATTAGGAAGTTGACTGAATAGAAAATCAAAAAAATAGCTGTCGAGAAGATATTTGAAGAAGAAGTAGGAAGATGGAAAGAATCATAGAATAGAACCCTGACAGTGTGGAAACAGGTCCTTTGGCCCAACAAGCCCTCGGAGCATCCCACCCAGACCCATCCCCCTAATCTACACATCCCTGAACACTATGGGCAAATTAGCATGGCCAATCCACCTAGTCTGCACATCTTTGGACTGTGGGAGGAAACTGGAGCAAACCCACGCAGAATGTGCGAACTCCACAGAGACAGTCACCCGTGGGTGGAATCAAACCTGGGTCCCTGGCGCTGTGAAGCTGCAGTGCTAACCACTGAGCCACCGTGCCACTCTTAAGGCATGGGGATGAAAAAATGAAATTGAATGGAATGCAAAGGGAAATGCAAATGATGTGCATTGAAATAGTAAGAAGATAGGCATATCTGCTTCACTACATCACAATGGTACTGTTCAACCATCCATGCTAAGATCACAAGACTGGTCTCGCCATAATGCTTCCCTTATGTTATCCTTTCAAATAGGCAAATACCACATGATTGAAGGGTTGAATCAGTTAATCTTCAGCCATATTGTAAATGTAAATGGGACTTACTGTGTGATAGTACACAGATGGCAGAACCTTTGACAAGTTGAGATTTATGAAAAGTATAGTTCCAATGACCAGAAAAGACTAATGAAACTGGAAATGATAAGGCACGGTAAGCATTTGAGTGATGGTTAGAATGACAGTAAGAGCTTGGAAATCTTACACGAGAGTAGGAACCCATATCTAGTGCATCGGGAACTTCTTTTGGTTGCTGTGCATTATAGCATGGTCACACACTATACTTTCTTTCTGTATTAATTTTATTAAATTCATGCTTGTACCCAGCCAAATCCTTGCAATGATTTCTTTAGTTTATTTGTAAACCTTCTCAGCCTTTACATTACTTTACAGCTAGCTTTTATTTTTGTCCCGTTTCCCCCATATCCAAGATGGAAAACTTTTCTCAATCAAATATTTTGGAGTAAGTGTGAACAAGAATTTTACTGGATCTGTTCTGGAACGTACTTCAACAACATGCCTCAAGCCTAATTTCAGAAACGCATCACTCTTTATTGTGCTATTCTGACATTTTCCAATTCCCAGGTAAAATGTAATTCAGTGGTAACTTTGTAATGACTGAAAGTGAATTCTGGATCTGTATCTGTGGCTTCCTGAGCAATGTTTACCGAATTTGATGATGCTGAATATGCCAGATGTTATCAGTCAACATGACAAATGGATAACAGGGGTCAGGATTCAGGTCAAGCAATCATTGGTTTACTTGTGCAATCAAGAAGAGCCAGTATTATCGTCATAGAGTGTAAAACTAATTCTGTGGGTCACAGAGACCTCCAAGCTTTATACAAAACATTACCGACGCACATATTAAAGTTGCTATGTTTCTTTGTGCATGTGTTTGACATTATCTTTTGTTTTCCCTCAGTTTTCACAGGCCATGTCTGTATTTCACTCAAGTTTGGCTCTATCTTGTTGATAGTGTGGCTCTCTGCACTCCTAGCCTGCCTGTGTACATCTGTGGTTCCCATTTACATCTACAAAATGGCTGAAGATTTAACCCTTAACTGATTCAACCCTTCAATCATGTGGTATTTGCCTATTTGAAAGAATAACATAAAGGAAGCATTGTGGCAAGACAGGTCTTGTGATTTTCAAATTGATGGTTGAACAGCAGCATTGTGATGTTATGAAACAGATCTGACTAGCTTCTTGATTACATAGTGTGGAGCTGGATGAACACAGCAGGCCAGGCAGCATCAGAGGAGCAGGAAAGCCGATGTTTTGGGTTGGGACCCTTCTTCAGAAATGGGGTGGGGGAAAGGATCTCTGAAATAAATAGAGAGAGGAGGGGTGGTGCTGGGGAAGGTAGGTGGGATGGTGATAGGTGAAGGCAGGTAGGGAGTGGTGGGGATTGGTCAGTGAGGTGGGAGGAGCAGATAGATGGGAGAGAAGATGGACAGGTTGTGTCAGGTCAAGGAGGCGGGGATGAGAGGGAGATAGGTAGGAGAGAAGACAGACAGGTCAAGGAGGCGGGGATGAGAGGAGCTGGGGAAGGTAGTTGGAATGGCGATTAGAGAGCGCAGGTAGGCAGTGGTGGGGATTGGTCAGTGAGTTGGTATCTTCTTGATTGTGGAAAGGTGGAGAGAAGCATAGAAACAAGGAAAAAATAACTGAACAGTGACAAAAAGGAAAAATGCACGCATACATGAAAGATCAATAACATAAAAGCCACAGTAGAGTTATGGTATTTCCCAACATGCTGCTTAGTCCTGCACAAGCCAGGTATTTCAAATATAGAGTAGTTCCTTCTCTACTCGCCATACTTATCTCAGCCATTACAGGCTCAGACCAACTGAAAAAACTGCACCACATGAAGAACAGATGGTTTCACTTTTAAATTACGCTGCAACCTTTCGTGTAGGAACACATTATACATTATAGAAAGTACTATTTAAAATCAAAACGTTGCATTTAACAACGAGTAAGGTATGTGCATACAGATGGCTTCAGTCCTTGGTTAATATTCACAGCGTAACATTTAGGTGAAATCATTAATTTCCTTGTTGGAAACGTTTCTTCAGATAGTCTGTTTGTTTGTAACTGCCAAGATGATTTCAAGACAATTGAAAATAATTTTCTCACACAGTGTGACCAAAAGTGATATAAAAGGTAGGCCACAAAATATATGATTATTGAACAATGTTTTGTCCTCTAAAATGTCAAATTAGCATGATACAAATAACTGATCTTTCAAGATTGAACACTGCTTCATCGCTTGCACCTGAAATCACTTGCAGAAAGAGCATAGAAGAGAAAACATATCAATGGTTTGTACTCAATATTTTTTAAGGGAAATATTCCATGATATTATTTAGCAACTGTATCCTATGGACCATTTTGTCAGATTATTAAACAAAGAAATACTGTGGGAATATATATCAAATTTTAAATGGATTTACTTGGTTGAAATGATTGAGAAGATTGCAGATGTTTTCAAACTTGCGACTTTAAAAATGCAATATTTTATGAAATACAATACATAAGACAAGCTATCACGCTGGTCACCTGTTACAAGATGTGCAATTTGTGTCACTCCTATTTGTCACATATTTATTCCCTCGTAATCCAACACAAATCTAGTGAGTAATGCACCTGACCAGTTTCACTCTTCCGATGACACCACTCTCAGTATTACACATATCATCCAGAAAATGGATTTGCAAATCACAATGTCTTAAGAAAACCCTTTACAATTGATTGAGACTGAAGTTTAAAAGGAAAGCAAGTGTAAAATCATATTTTGAAAGTATTGACAAGAAATGCAACAATATAGTACAGCCTAAGTTTCCAGCAGTGTTGTTTCTGGATAATTGAGAAGCATTATGTTTTGCATAATATTAATCATTGTATTATTCAAAAAAAAACAAACTTCAATGTAATGCATTCTCCAATTTCCTCTTAGGTCAACCCAGATCAAGACATACTCCTGGGATAATGCACAGGTTATTCTGGTTGGCAATAAATGTGACATGGAAGATGAAAGGATAGTATCTGTGGAGAGAGGGAAGCAGTTGGCAGATCAACTTGGTATGTTTGGCCAATGTGAATTGTCATGTTTACCTGATACTTATTGCATTTTGTTGCTTACATATTGTTACAAGTTCAGATCTATTGAACATACTCTGTCTTGACCAGTATCAATAATCTCCGTAAGTGATCTAGGCACCTATTTGATTTACAATGCCTATGTGATATGATCATCTAGAGACCAGAACTGTATCTTCCTGTCTTTTGTTCACATACTACTTCATTCCTTCTGAAGATGGTCTGGACATACATCTCATGAGCTGAAGGCAGATATAAATTATTAAACTACCACAGTCAAATAAGCTGACCACACAGAATAGTTTGTTAAACCTAGGATGCCTTACTTCAATTTATCCAATTTGTCACACATAATATAAAGAACTAACTATGTTTCACATAATGTTAGTCTTCTTGTTTAACTTTAGAATCTTCTAACTATTCTCCAGCTTCTTGAACTTCTCTGCCTTTAGTTGTCTGCTAGACTCTGGCTCATTTTGAGATCCATTGGGAAGATCCTAGCTGATTCCCCACTGGTCCAAACTGACTATTCACCATGCTGGGACAGGTAACCTTTGCAATGTTGGTCATTCCTCCTGCAAGAAGCGAAGGGTAACTAACCCAACATGTTAGAAAGTAAGGAGGCATGGGATTCAGTGAAATGTGGCTGTCCAGTAGAAGACAGAGGGTGGTAGTAGATGGAAAGTATTCACCCTAGAGCTCGGTGACCAGTGGTGTTCCGCAGGGATCTGTTCTAGGACCTCTGCTCTTTGTGATCTTTATAAATGACTTGGATGAGGAAGTGGAAGGGTGCGTTAGTAAGTTTGCCGATGACACAAAGGTTGGTGGAGTTGTGGATAGTGTTGTAGGCTGTTGTAGGTTGCAACAGGACATTGACAGGATGCAGAGCTGGGCAAAGAAGTGGCAGATTGAATTCAACCCGGAAAAGTGTGAAGTGATTCATTTTGGAAAGTCAAATTTGAATGCAGAATACAGGCTTAATGGCAGGATTCTTGGCAGTGTGGAGGAACAGAGGGATCTTGGGGTCCACGTCCATAGATCCCTCAAAGTTGATAGAGTTGTCAAGAAGGTGTATGGTGTGTTGGCTTTCATTGGCAGGGGAATTGAGTTTAAGAGCTGCAAGGTTATGCTGCAGCTCTATAAAACCCTGGTTAGACCACACTTGGAATATTGTATTCAGTTCTGGTCGCCTCATTATAGGAAGGATGTGGAAGCTTTAGAGAGGGTGCAGAGGAGAGTTACCAGGATGCTGCCTGGAATAGAGGGCAGGTCTTATGAGGAAAGGTTTTCTCATTGGAGCGAAGAAGGATGAGAGGTGACTTGATAGAGGTGTACAAGATGATGAGAGGCATAGATAGAGTGGATAGCCAGAGACCTTTTCTCAGGGCAGAAATGACTGTTACGAAGGGGTATAATTTTAAGGTGATTGGAGGAAGGAATAGGGGAGATGGCAGAGGTAGGTTCCTTACACAGAGAGTGGTGGGTACATGGAATGCACTGCCAGCAGTGGTAGTGGAGTCAGATACATTAGGGACATTCAAGCGACTCTTGGATAGGCACATGGATGATAGTATAATGTAGGGTATGCAGGGTAGTTTGATCTCAGAGTAGGATAATAGGTGGCACAACATCGTGGGCCGAAGGGCCTGTACTGTGCTGTACTGTTCCATGTTCTATGTTATGGCACAACTTTGCTCCTATCACTGCCTCCTTACCTGCCTTTGTGGCACGGGGAAAATTCAGACCTGGTTGTGAGGTTTTTTTCCTTAATTTGGTAGACAAGCTTAAAAAAACCCATTTGTCAATTGCTGTGGGACCCAATCTTCTTTTTAGTACAGGATGAATCCTTCACCTGGAAGCTGTGCTTCCAGAGCAACATTTTAAAAAATGTTAAAAGCAGCTTTCACTTCCAAATCCAATGTGAAAATTGAGCCAAACGCCTGCAGTGTGACATCTAGATTTTTCAGAATCTAACCATGCCAAGAATTAAATAACTCAGTAATACATTGCTGGAAGTACCCTTATAACTTTTTGTTCTCTGCTCTTATATTATGATGGTAGTTACCAAGATTGGTCTCTCTCCTCTTTAACTCCTTTGGAAACGTAAATCAGCATGTTTCCTCTGAAGTCCTCCAAAGCTGATTGTGCTGGAGTTTGTAAAGTGTGGGTAAGTATCAAATTTCATGGTAAAACCAGAACCTATGCCACTGAAAACCGTACTGTGGTACCAGCCTGGCCCATGCAATTGCAAAATGCAGTCCACTTGGTAACTGATGGTGTGGGAGACATGGAATTGCCAAAATACCAGCAATTCCAGTTTCCAGCCCTGTATCATGGGCACAATTGAATGATTAATCAGAAAATGTCTTCAATGGAATAGGATGACAGACACTGCCACAGGCTCCATTTTTTCCTTTTCTTCTTTATTTAGTCATGGTACACGGGTGTTGCTGGCTGGCCAGCATTTATTACCTGTCCCTAGTTCCCCTTGAGAAGATAATGGTGAGCTGCCGCCTTGAACCGCTGCAGCCCAAGCACCCTAAGTTGATCCACAATGTGCTTAGGGAGGGAATTCCAGGATATTGATCCAGCGACAGTGTGGATTCAGTGCTATATTTCCAAATCAGGATGGTGAGGGGCTTGGAGGGGAACTTGAAGGTGGTGGTCTTACCATGTATTTGCTGCCCTTGTCCTTCTAGATGGAAATGGCCATGGATTTGGAAGGTGCTGATCTTTGGTGATTTGCTACAATGCATCTTGTAGATAGTGCATACTACTGCTACTGAGCATAGGTGGTGAAGGGAGCGGATATTTGTTCATGTGGTGCCAATCAAGCGGGCTGCTTTGTCCTGGATGGTGTCAAGTTTCTTGAGTGTTGTTGGGGCTGCACTCCTCCAGGCAAGTGGGGAGTGTTCCATCACACTCCTGACTTGTGCCTTGTAGATGATGAACGATGAACAGATTTTAGGGAGTCGGGGGCGAGTTACTGCAGTATTCTAGCCTCTGACTTGCTCTTATAGCCACTGTGTTTACATGACAAGTCCAGTTTCCCCGTAAGTCTGTAAACCCCATCTCACTCAGACCAAACTCTGATAATTCCCTAAAATAGGACATAGTAACAGGCCCTTTGGCCCATCATATCTGTGCCAACTATGATTCCATTCTAAACTAATCCCATCTACTTGCACAAGGTCAATATCCCTCTATTCCCTGCCTCTTCATGTGTCTGTCTGAATGCATCTTAAACTTTATTAGTGTATCTGCTTCTCCCATCTCCCCTGGCAGTGCATTCCACACTCTGTGTAAAGAATTTCCTTGCACATCTCCCTTAAACTTCGCCCTCCCCCACACCTTAAACATCTGTCCCCTAGTATTTGACATTCCCAACCTGGGAAAAAGACTCTGACTGTCCACCCTATCCATGCCTTCCGTAATTTTATACACTTCTATCAGATTGCCCTTCAGTCTCCAACGCTCTAGATAAAACAATCCAAGTGTATCCAACCTCTCCTTATAGCTAATACACTCCAATCCAGACAACATCCTGCATACTCCTAACTAAAGTCTTATACAGCTGCAACATGACCTGCCAACTTCTATCCTCAAAGCCCTGATGCCTTCTTTACCACCTTATCCACTTGTGTTGCCATTTTCAGGGAGCTGTGGACTTACACTCCAAGATCCCTCTGCATATCAATGCTCCTAAGGATCCGACCATTAACTGTGTGCTTTCCTCTTGCATATGACCTCTCAAAATGCATCACCTCACACTTGCCCTGATTAACTCGATCTGCCATTTCTCTGTCCAACTCTCCAACAGATCTGTATCCTGCTGCATTGTGTGACAGCTTCCTCACTGCTCACAACTCCACCAACTGCCATGTCATCTACATTTTGATCTAGGTCATTTATAAATATTAAAAACAACAATAAGCACTGATTCTTGTTAAACACCACTGGTCACGGACCTCCGGTCAGTCAAACACCCCTCCATCCCTCTGTGTCCTGTGACCAAACCAATTTTGTATCCCATTTGCCAACTTACCGTGGATCTCATGTGACTTAATCTTTTGGACCAGCCTACTGTGAGGGACCATGTTAGATGCTGTAGTAAAGTCTTACCCTCGTCAGTCATTGTCGTCACTTCCTCAAAATTCTCAAACTAATTTGTGAAACAAGACCTTCCCCACATAAAGCCATGCTGACTATCCCTAATAAGTCTGTTCTTTTCCAAATGCGTGTAAATCCTGTCCCTAAGAATCTTCTCCAGTAATTTCCCTACCACCGATGTAAGGCTCACTGGCCTATAACTTCCTGGATAATTCCTGTTGCTCTTCTTAAACAAAGGAACAACTTCGGCTATTGTCAAGTCCTCTGGGACCTTGCCTGTTGTTAAAGAAGATACAAAGATCTCTATCAAGGCCCCGAAATCTCCTCCCTTGCTTTCTTCAGTATCCTGGGATAGATCCTATCAGGCCCTGGGGACTTATCTACGTTAATGTTTTTCAAGACACCCAACACATCCTCCTTAATATAGACATGCCCTAGAATATCAATATACCCATCCTTTATCTTCCCATCATCCACGTCCTTCTCCTTAGTGAATACTGATGCAAAGTACTCATTAAGGATCTCATCTACTTCCTCTGGCTCCATGCATATATTTCCTCCTTTGTCCTTGAATGGACCTACCCTTTCCCTAATTACCCTCTTGCTGTTAATATACATATAAAATGCCTTGGGATTCTCCTTAATCCTACTTGCCAAGAACATTTCATACACCCTTCTAGCCTTCCTGATTTCTTGTTTAATTTCTTTCTGCTTCCTTTATATTCCTCAGGGGCCTTGGTAGATTTCAGTTTCCTAAACCTTACATATATTTCCTTTTCATTTTTGACTAAACTTTCAATATCTTTTTCATCCAAGGTTCCTGAAACTTTCCATTCTGATCTTACATCCTCACTGGGACACGCCGGCCTGAA